GTATAAAGACGGGATTTCTATTCAAAACCAACCACAGATAAAGTACTTTGATAAGATTCTAAACATTTTTCTTTTAAAATACAAATTACAAAATTAGGACAATTTCTTTCAAAACCAACCAGGTCATGTTAAAGTACTTTTTTTTCATTTATGTATAAAGACGGGATTTCTATTCAAAACCAACCACAGATAAAGTACTTTGATAAGATTCTAAACATTTTTCTTTGACATTATTAAAATACAAATTACAAAATTAGGAAGTGGTACAATTTGAGCATTGACATAAGCCCTACAGGTCAATGTTGAGTGATTATGTATTTCATATGTTAAAGCAATTTAAATCCCTCACGTGTATAAACAATTTTGATACAGATGTCATAATACAATATATATGATATTATCTTACTTTACATGTATCTTGACATTTTAAAGATAAGTTACAAAAATGATAAGCGAAACCAATGTTGTCATTTTCCAAATGAATTCATGACATATTGATAAGTAAGTATTTTGATGGAACACGGCAGATCCAGTCGTGTCTATTTTTGACTCAAATGATCTATATTTATGTTTGTCTTACCACACTGTTAATTTTCCGTATCCAGTATTACAAGGATAATGTAGATATTACACATCATTTTTTTTTATTTTCTTAATTCCGTAAAAGGCCAAAAATTTCTTTCCCAAATTTGGTTCTTAACAGTTTTTTCCTTGTATAATTCCGATACCAACAATTCCGAAAACCAATACTTTTGCAATTACTTTCATGTCAAATTATAAAATGATTTAACCTTAGTTGCTGTTGGAAAACTACCTGATTTTGGCTAAAAACTAATATTTGTAGGTGTTAGTAATTCTTAGCTCTGAATTTACTTACGCATGTTTTAAATCTTATTATTACTATTATTATTGTTATTATTGTTATTATAGTTGTTGTTGTAATAGTGTAACAGGGTGAAAACACCACGCCAAAGCTTGTTTTCTTCTTAATAACATTTATTCAATGCATAAAAACCCTAAAAAAGAAACAAAGACAAACACTTAGTATTGCACACACAACATCAGGGGACATAACTCTCGCACTGTATAATTACCTATTTTTTCCTCTATTATCTAAATTATGGCAAATACAAATTGTTTACCAACTTTACAATATAATTAGATTATTTAAATCAACATTACTTATACAGTACTGTTATATGATTAAATAATACAAAACACAGAAAATACTTCTATGACTAAATTGTCTTACTTTCCTGAAACATACATATACTATCCATATTTCATATTCATTAACATCGAATATACATTTCAACGTAATAATTTTTATATAGTAAACTCACCCTACATATGGTGTAGAAGTTTATAGAGGTTCTCTAATATACACACTTGACACTATGCTGTCTCCCGCTATCACTCTCCAATTATCTATAAAATTAATACAACTACTTAATACTTGTCATATACCGTTTAACATGACAAGAGACAACACAAATTGAGAATTAAAAATATGATCAGGCCACTTTGTAGCACTGCAGATAAACTTGGGATAGCCAAACTTCCAAAGAGAAAAATGATACATGTATTATACTATATACTATATATTCAAAAAATACATTTATTCTACAGGACTAATTTATTGTAATATATATTTAACAATAAATTAACTACAATATTCTGAAATACTAGTAAATATATAACTTACCAATTATAATACATCTTTCCCCTTGGGAATCTAAATCTGTTCTACAACAAAGAACTGAATACCGATGTTCAAATCAAGCTTACTTTCCCTCTCATGATGGAATCTAGCCAATCAAAATCGTCAATGTCGGTTCACTGGACAGGTCAGTGGCTGTCATAGGTCAAACTTGTGCATGTACATGTATTTACCATATATGGGATTCATACAGGTAATAGTGAGTACAATTTACATCACAAGACATACTTACCTAGCATCTATAACTAAAAATAAATCATTATAAATATCTGACCCATGTCAGACATATAGACATGTTACCTATTAAAAATACATATAAAGTTAACAACCTGACCCATGTCAATAGATATAAAATATGCATTTCTGACATTGTCAAAACATGCCCTAGTACTTAGGTAAAATTAAAAAGCATAAATAACACACTGTCACAATAGTACGGATATAAAATAGATATCTAAGACAGCAGAACACACCGACATGTTCTTTGTTTCTTAACAGGTTGTCTCCATTTGCTTTGTCAGTGGCAACAAAATTCCTAGAGTTACTTCCCCTGTTTCAAAACATGTAACTGAGATAAAATTGGTCAAATAAGATACTTTTTATGTAATAAAGTAATGGATTATTTACATCATATTATACAATATAATAATGGTACTATTTTTATGAAAGCATTTAAGATGGTATTGCAGTTTATTTAAGTTATACACATTTTTCTCTTTCCATATGGTAATTTTTAAATACCTTGTCTGTAAAATTTTACATTTAGTTTATATATTCTCTTTTACAGTAACAACTCATACTTACCTGGTACAGGGGATACCGTGATCAGCAAGGCGGTTCCCCCAGGTCGAGGCCCTTCCATTGCACTCCGGTCGGGCTGAACCCTGCGATAATCCCAAATGCGGATTACTCGGGTACGCTATTTTTAAGTGTGGGGGTCTGCGTTCGCGCTAACCCTCGACCATAAACAATTCAAAAAGAGGACCATTCACTGGGGACGTTGATGGTAGGCAAACTTACTCAAGTATGCTTAACCAGCAAAAAATCCTCTGCATCCTCATGTTTCAAAACAACGATTTTTTTGACAGTGTGCCTCTTGGAGTTGTATGGTAAGTTTCTGTGCGTTCGTTAACAATAATAATTCTCCATTTTACCATTGCTCCTTGTATTGTCTCTGTACGTCGGACAGATCAAAGATTTCATTTTTTGTTTAGTGCCTAATTTCAAGTATTAATCACTTACGTTGATATAAACATTATGAGCGCATGTGTGTAAATCATAAGTGCTAAGTGTTAATATACTGTAATTGTACACATGGATACAAAGCTGTCTCTCTCGCCCGTCTCTCTCTCTCTCTCTCTCAATATAAAAGACAATATATACAATGTTCTATAAATAGCATTTAATTATGCTTTATATATTTTAATATGTGTATATATATATATATATATATATCAATAGAAAAGGGAGTTAATAATGGTCTTGTTATTTATGCCCAATCCCTTTCGCTTATTTTGAGAATACAACATGTTTAAGATGATTTATAATTTACAAAAAAAAACATACTCAATATAGATCAATGTGATTTTATTGTCCTGTATCATCACCAGTGATTTTAAATTTTAAAACTCAAAATATATACATATAGCCACATATAGTCAGCAAGCTTTGTCAGTAAAATATTATAAAACTATAAATGTTACGTAGATTTAAAAAACATTCTTGGTAAAGAGAGTATATTATTTTGTTAGTAAACAGAAATTTGCATATACACATGTTAGCGGTAAGGTGTCCTATTATATGACCTGTGCTAAATATCTATTTTTATCGAGTGTAGAACATTTGAAAACTTTAGACATTGACATATTACAAGCAGTACAATCAGTATAGATATCATGGATAATGATATTCATTTTCGATTTTCCGAAGCTTAAGTCCAAACACTTGGAAAGTTTCATGGCAAAATTGAAGGTTCCATGTGCGATACGAAGTGGATAGACTAAGATAACTAGTTTGATCCGTTGACGAACATAAAACGAATCTCGGGGTCGTAAATGGTTTTTGAACTGGCTCTTCGGAATCTTGAAAGGAATGTATCAGTCTGGTCCGTTTTTTCTCCTGAAGGCCGCTCAAGACCAGTCCAATTACTTCGCTTGCCATGAAATGTTCCAGGAGTGCAGACAGCAAAAGTAACCCCTGGATCTGGTGTATCGAGGAAGAACGATATTGCCTAACTGAAGCTAGATATTATTGTATACCATGGGAAAAGTTATTTCACCAACAAATAGCTTATTAAATCAAAGCTTCGGAGTCCTCATAATAACTTAATGTAACTAATGTTTCAATACACAGTGCATTTTTATACTTTTACATTTTCGTCATTTAGTGTACTAGACTTTAAAATGTACAATTTCAAAAAAGTCTCTTTTCTACCTTAACAAGCAATTAACTATCGTAAATACAGAGTGTTATTATGCACCCTTTGTAAAAAATCGTATAATTTAACATTATGTATAATATTTCATCAAAAATGTTTTATCTAAATAAATACAAAAAAATATATTTCAGCTCTCAATGTATCATTAAAATATAGCCTACGATTTTAAAATACAATGTTTTGTTTTATCACACAATGTTCTGAACTATTATCATACAATGTTCTATTCTATTATCATACAATGTTCTATTTTATTATCATACAATGTTCAATGTTCTATTTTATTATCATACAATGTTCTATTCTATTATCATACAATGTTCTATTCTATTATCATACAATGTTCTATTTTATTATCATACAATGTTCAATGTTCTATTTTATTATCATACAATGTTCTATTCTATTATCATACAATGTTCTATTTTATTATCATACAATGTTCAATGTTCTATTTTATTATCATACAATGTTCAACGTTCTATTTTATTATCATACAATGTTCTATTCTATTATCATACAATGTTCTATTCTATTATCATACAATGTTCTATTTTAAGACATACCGTACTAGAATTAACAGATTATTGATTTATATGACTGAAATAAAAAACAATACTTCGGTGGATTTTTAACATTATCAGAAAAGAGCAGCAATATAACTGTTCAATTCGTTGATTTCTATTATTGTATTGCTGATTACATAACTGTATTTACCCAGACGTATGAAGCAGCATTCCTTACCCAGTTCACAGTAAGTCAAGTTTGTGATGAAAAAAAGTGTTAATGTTCATCTGTCAACAGAGAATCATAACGAAATTGTGATATAGAATTGACATATGGAGAGAATGAATTTCGTTCATGTTAAGTATTTTCTAATGATTAAAATAACTTCACATTAGAGTTTCCACATGCTGCAAGGAGGCCAGAAGATCCGTTTTTGACTTCAATACCCACTCAACGAAAGATCCATCAATAAGTATGAACTCAGCACATTCACTTCAATTGCATCTTTATTTATTTATATTTTTATTTTTTTTTTATCTTATTCAGAATGTGACATGACCTGGATTTGACCTAGATATCAGTAAATCTTTCTTTTGTTTTTATTTTTATGTCGGTATATTCTTGTGATGTAGTAAACTGTAATTTGAATATAAAATTTACTCAGAGAATCATAACCAAGTTATGACTCACAAGAAAAATACATCTCTTTTAAAACATTTGGTAAAAACCACTAAAAATTGAGACTTCGGGGAAGAAACCCACCCTTGTATACAGGTTTAGTTTCGGGCGATTTTCTGTGATTGTCCATTGCCCCATTTGAGTACAGACACTTTTTTATTTTCGTTGTCAATGTATTCCTCATAGAAAGGCTGTTGTATGTTTACAGTAACGGATTCTGTTTGTTGGACGGGCTGATTGAAAGCGTTAGGAGTTTCGTCAACTTGTTCATTTTCAGATTGTTTGTCAGTCATTTTTAAGAAATAGCTATGATACAGAACGACCCCGTTTCGTTTTACAGGCCGTGTTTCAAATGGAATATTTGGGATAAACGTTTCACTCAAACGCCAAAAGGGATAGGATATTTCTTCTAAAAATAGTATCACAGAAAGTCGTTGAGTATGGAAAAATGCGATATCGTTTTCGCGCACTTTGGCACACGTTTCCGAAATCATTGCTATCAAAGAATTCAAAAGAACTAGGTATGTCATGGTTACGTACACCATGTAGACAATATAGGCCAACACGGGCTCCCTAGCCTGGTAAAGAACCTCAATATCGACAAGACCAAACATTAGTCGGGTGTTAGTGAGCAGTGTTCCAGCGAAAACTTGAATCGATTCGGTTGTGTCTTCACTGCCGTAAGCAGTTGGAACTCCGATGCCTTGGAACAAGACTTGGAAAGCAATAGTGAAGGAAACCAGAGACAAAAGGATAAATAATCCGAACCGAAGCAGATCTCCAAAAATTACTTTCTGTATCATTGCAACGTAGAAACTTACCGATCTGAAAGCACGACAATAGAAAATGCAAAACCACCATCCAGAGAGATTAGAGATAAGAAGAAAATAGGAATCATGCTTCTGGTTGATGTGGTACAGTGCTCCATCTACAAGAAGGCAAAATGAGAACAGAAACAACAATACAATGTATTCTATATCCGTTTTTAGGTATTGAAGGGTGTTAGGGCGTAGACATCTTGCCACAATTAGTAAAACGGTACAAGCGAAATAAGGTACACCCACGGTTAAAATGAGTGAGATGGAACTGAAGCTCACAAAGGCTCTCTGGACGTTCGTGATTGCAGACTGGGTAGAGTTGGAAGGGAAAGTTACCGAGGCCCATTGTATAGCATATATACTGTACCAGACCATGACGACAGCGTGATAAAACATCCAGAGAAAGAACTGTGTCCGATATGTCTTCCACTTCAGATCAATCAGCTTCTTCATCGGAGGTTGTTTTATAATGTCGAAGACAGAACTATTGTTCCTGGCAATCTTCGCATTACAGACCATCTCTAACACACTCTGGCTGTACTGAAACTTTTCTTTTTCGATTTCTCTCCCAACTTCTTCAATGCTTGGAGCTGCTGGGTTCAGGGAAAGTGTATCATCACACGGTCCCACTTTATTAGGTTTGCTGTGGTTCATTTCAACTTTCTTTTTTCTTTGGACTTTGAAATGAGTGACTGTATCGATGACTGATATGTCATAAAGATATGAGTCAAAAAGTTTGTCCTTGACGTTAGGGATCTTTTCATGATCCAGTATCACGTTGAATAGTTGTGGGACACCGTGCTTGGCGGCTAGCTGTAATGGTCGCATATTCTCATGGTTTGATAACTTAAAAGCGTATTTTGGCGCCAACGCAGATTTTCTATGGAGATCGTTCAAATCAGCTGCATTTTCGCCTCCGAAAGAGGAAAGAAAATCCCACATGGCTGTTACTTCCGGTATCTTATTCGGGTGTCTGGCTGCATGCTCCACTAGACAGTGGTACACCGTATTTCCCTTGCCATTCTGTGCCTTTATATGCTGACCTGTCATCTCGATCACTAATCTGGCAGTTTTTGTGTCTAAAGTAAGAGCTGCTACTATATAGGGTAGTTCTCCCTCCATGACAGTCTTGGAGAAAAGTGCACCTGTTACCTTGGGGTTGAATATGTTATTTCTTACAGTATCTCCAACTGTCAGATCAGAGGACAACAAATCCTTTATTTTTCTTAGTGTTTCGTTTTGATTTCTAACTATAAGGATATGCAAGGGGGTTTGCCCTTGGTGGCCATTTTGTTTACGACGTTCCAGCAGCTCGGGTGACAGTTTAACCAACTCTTGTATGATAACGTTTTGAGACTCGTCTAGATGCGCTGCTGCAAGATGAAGAATCGTATCGTCAGTCGTCCTTACAGGTTTCCCTCTCTCCTCATACGAACAATAATGATGCGTTAAGTTAGATCTAAATATGTTCGATGAGGCGTTGTTATGGAGGATATCTAGAGTTTTCTGAACATTCTTTCTCTCAATAGCAGCTTGAAGTTTCTCCATTTCTGACAAAGCAACATAAAAACTTTCTGTACAAAGCTCAATAGAAACAAGACACAATCAGGTAAAGTTGTAATATCACGCAGGTTTTGCTTCGATTTTGATTTCTCTCATTTTTCCGAAAAAGAGAGAGAAAAAAGAGGAAAAATTACAACGCCGGGACTTCGCAACATTGAATATTAAGATTAGTAATTAACACCAGAGTAGTTGATTATGTTGGTATTGTCGAATAAACAACAGCTTTTGTAGGGGAAAGATATACACATTCCATTTTCATAGAGACATAAATGGATTAAAACTAAATTTTTTTAATTTCCGATGATTTTACAAAAGAAACACGATTGAAAACAAATTTGATACAGTAGAGCCAACAATGAAGTAAACTGAATCATACAGCTGTTTCGTCCTTCTAGGATTCGTCAGTAATGTCATATCATACAGCTATTTCGTCCTTCTAGGACTCGTCAGTGATGCTACATCATACAACTGTTTCGTCCTTCTAGGACTCGTCAGTAATGTCATATCATACAGCTGTTTCGTCCATCTAGGACTCGTCAGTGATGTTATATCATACAGCTGTTTCGTCTTTCTAGCACTCGTCAGTGATGCTACATCATACAGCTGTTTCGTCCTTCTAGGAGTCGTCAGTGAGGTTACATCAAAGAGCTGTTTCGTAATGTCAGTGATATCATACAGCTGTTTCGTCCTTCTAGGACTTGTCAGTGATGCTACATCATGCAACTATTTCGTCCTTCTAGGACTCGTCAGTGATGCTACATCATACAGCTGTTTTGTCCTTCTAGGACTCGTCAGTGATGCTACATCATACAGCTGTTTCGTCTTTCTAGGACTCGTCAGTGATGTTACATCATACAGATGTTTCGTCCTTCTAGGACTTGTCAGTGATGCTACATCATGCAACTATTTCGTCCTTCTAGGACTCGTCAGTGATGCTACATCATACAGCTGTTTCGTCCTTCTAGGACTCGTCAGTGATGCTACATCATACAGCTGTTTCGTCTTTCTAGGACGCGTCAGTGATGTTACATCATACAACTGTTTCGTCCTTCTAGGACTCGTCAGTGGAAACTGCGCTGAACCAAAAACGAAATCATTGTGCAATTAATTCGCAAAATAAAATGAACTAGTAATTAACTGGATTACATTACAAAATTTCTATATTATACTCATGATTATCTACTGTACACCCCGAGATATCTTGAGTAAATTATCGATTATCTAGGTTATACACCGGGATAAGTAGTGAACACTCCGAATTATCTAGTGTACACTCCGGATTATTTAGTGTACATTACGGATTATCTAGTGTACACTCCGGATTATCTAGTGTACAATCCGGGTTATCTAGTGTACACTCCGGATTATCTAGTGTACACTCCGGATTATCTAGTGTACACTACGGATTATTTAGTGTTCTACCCGAATAACCTAGTGTACACTCCGGATTATCTAGTGTACACTCCGGATTATTTAGTGTACACTACGGATTATCTAGTGTACACGCCGGATTATCTAGTGTACACTCCGGATTATCTAGTGTACACTTCGAATTATCTTGTCTACACTATGAATGATCTAGATTACACTATGGAATTGTCTGGAAACATTAAGAAATTTATTTCGGAATCGTAACCTTCACAAATGAATAACCACTACCATCAATGTTTTCAGGAATCTCCGTGTAAATATTTCTTTTGTTCATAGTTCGCCATAGTTTTATCAGAATAGAGATTACGATGGTGTTGGCGTGTTGTTTGTTGTTTTTGTTAAGATGAGAAGATGCCTACAGATTTTTATTTTGGATTTTCTTTTAGTTTTTCTAAACACATTTCTCATGTTAAAGTTCGTTTAAGTAGGCCTAGTTCTTGGAATCAGACACTATGACACTATGGCAGGCCTGCGAGATAGGAATTGCTAATATATGAAATATCCTTCGACCTTGTCAAGGTCATTCCGAGATCTGCACTAGGCTTCTTGTAATCTTCCTGGTATAGAATTGTTTTATATAGTTTACCTATTGATTTAGTTGATCATATATAATATCAAATCTAATAAGTGAATTAAAGTATTTTCTTCAAACAAAGAACTAGAGATCACCTAGTAACACTGTTAGGTATTACTCACGGCGTGGTATACAGGTAGAAACTTGACGAACTCTTAATACCTGGAATGATAACCTTATAACATCTGATAAATCAACCCAGCCCCACGGACACGGAAAAGGTCGAAAAATAATATCATTGATAGTAGCTGGTCATAGTTTACATACGAAACTTTCAAAAATCAATTTCATCATAGAAAATCTATGATAAAATATATTGTTTTTTAAATACAGAACATGTTAATTAATTCCCGAATTTCGCTTTCACCATTCATAAGGTCGTATAAAGATCCAAAAACATAAACACTTGAAATCAGAATTACACACACTTACTTTATGGCCCTGGTAACTCAAAGTCTGTAAATAACAAACTGAGTCAGTGTTGATCCATCATAGGCTGAGAAATGTTTATGTTTATCAAAAAGACTAGTTTTTCATAGATCGAGAAACACCGAGAAAATTCCAACTCAGAATTTCTGTACAGTTAATTCACTTTTATTATATTATAAGCCCGTTGTCTGGTGAATTCAAACATGTAATGTACTGTGTATATGTCACTAGGGTAATATACTCTGGGGCGATTTCCATTGGCCGTGCCAGTTTAAAATCTATCCTGATATTGTAATATTGGAAATGACGTCACAGTATCAATTCTAAATAATTTGTCGTCCTTATTTTCACTTTAAAACCTGTCAAACAACTTTGTTTGATCAGATGTATCTTAAACTTGACTTTATGAGATATGGTAATGAAACTCGTCTCCGGGTTTTCATTTTTACTCGACAAGGCTGGCAAAAAAGGCTTCGAACACTTGTTTCGTGAAATCTCATATGGAATGAAAACCCATTTAATTTCTATATACGTATATATGAAAGCTGATGACATCACAGTGCATAACGTAAACACTTCTCTCACTCCCGATAGTTTAGCTGTCACTGGCTTACTTCGTCGGTAGTCAGCCCTGGAAACTGCTAGATCTTTCATCTGCACCTCGGGTTAACGACCGGATATGTCAAATTATCAGCCGTGTCGAATGTTTCGATTGTTCTACATAATTCCGTTTTTATTATTGGGCTTTTCTTTCGATCAGTCGCCTAGGATTCAAAAGTTAGGCCCTTGGCATCACTGACGAGTCCTTAAAGGACGAAACAGCTGTGTGATGTAGCATCAACTGTATGATGTAGCATCACTGACGAGTCCTAAAGGACGAAACAGCTGTATGATGTAACATCACTGACGAGTCCTAGAAGGACGAAACAGCTGTATGATGTAACATCACTGACGAGTCCTAGAAGGACGAAACAGCTGTGTGATGTAGCATCACTGACGAGTCCTAGAAGGACGAAACAGCTGTATGATGTAGCATTACTAACGAGTCCTAGAAGGACGAAAAAGCTGTATGATGTAACAACACTGACGAGTCTTAGAAGGACGAAACAGCTGTATGATATAGCATCATGACGAGTCCTAGAAGGACGAAACAGCTGTATGATGTATCATCACTAACGCGCCATAGAAGGGCGAAACAGCTGTATGATGTATCATCACTGACGAGTCCTAGAAGGACGAAACAGCTGTATGATGTAGCATCACTAACGCGCCCTAGAAGGGTGAAACAGCGGTATGATGTATCATCACTGACGAGTCCTAGAAGAACGAAATAACTATGATGTAGCATCACTGACGCGCCCTAGAAGGACGAAACAGCTGTATGATGTAACATCACTAACGCGCCCTAGAAGGACGAAACAGCTGTATGATGTAACATCACTAACGCGCCCTAGAAGGACGAAACAGCTGTATGATGTAGGTTAATTGTTTTGTTCTACTGTATTTAACTCTAAAGGATTAAAAGGTGCTTTTGATTTGTGTGTATTTTGCAGAAACTTTACCTTTACTTGACATCAATAACATTAATCCCCATGTTGGATTTATTTCTTAATCTTAATATCTTACCATACGTTATCTGTTAAAACTGTTGCTGTCAAGTCCTTATTTTGATGTTTCGTTGTCCATGTTTAATGAAAAATGTTATCTGTACAGCGGAAGAGAAAAGTTGGTATTTACCTGTTCGTATTGTAAACATCTCGGTCATTGTTCCGGTGTTGTAATATGCACCTTTAAAATAACTAGGAGATAAGACACCGTTGTTAGTTCTATGAAAATATTTCCACTAGAAACGTGAGGGACTTAGTCGTCCGATAATAGTTCAAAGTTAAGCAATAATCTATATAAGCGCTATGCAACTATGAAAAAGTTCAGTTTTGACATTTCTGGGTTTTGTGAAGCCATAAATTTTGATTTAAACTTATTTCATTGTTTTCAAACAAAATTAGTTCTTTCCACAATGGATATCCATATAAACTTTTACAAACATCACGTGACAACAGCAAATTATAGCAACGATAAATGCCTTGCTAACACTACAAATATAGAAGTTTGATGGAAATGAAGAGGTAAAATTGGGACAGAAAACGAGAAGTAGAACATAAACAAGTTATTTATACTGAATATGTAAACTAATGTGAAACACCTTTTTTATTTATTTATTTATTTATATATTTTTTCCCTTATTTACAAACCATTTACGGTCATATAACACGGATCCTAACTAATGTCTCACATTTAATCTCTTCCGATTCTCGTTTTCAACTTTTTTAGGAAATAATCATTTCTTTAAAAATAACTAATTTTTTTTGTGAGAATTTCAAACCAGAAAAAAAACCTTATGTTATAGGCACTTACTTTTCTGGATCAACAGAGCTCAAGATACGCTGTGAGATGTCAGATTGTCAATATGTGGTTTTAATAATTCGTGGGTGAAGAATGGATCCGTGAATGCAATGAAAATAAAACAAAAATAATGACAACATACTTTAAAATTAGCGAAATGTATTGGAACGTATAGCAACAGTGGTATTGAATCTAACTTTCTTAATATGTAAATTTTCTTCTTCTACTATATTGAGCAATAACTGCCTAAAACAACAATATTCAGGCATTACGATTTTTTTCAAATGTTATGGAGATACATACCTGTGCTTTCAGACTCTTCTGCAGGTTTACACCGAGTTAATTTCAACACTATTCAAAGGTTTTATATACTAGACAACCCTAATAAATATCTGCTAAGGAGTAGGATTGTCCCATTGCTGTAACCATAACGTTACATAATCGATATGTTCTACGTGGGAATATGTACGTAAACTGAGCCTCGTGCTATTACCTGTAGTATATATTTTTCAAGAACTCTAGGTCAGAATTTAAATATCCTTCTATAAAAAACAATTGTTTATTGCCGAAAGAAAGAGTGGAAAAGTCTGACTGCCAATTAAACACAATCATAATGTGGAGAGCCTATTGTGTCAAATACATGTAAGATATTCGTTACCATCTTTCTCCAAAGTTTTATAGCATGTAAAATTTTTGGAAAGGGTTTAATAATATGAAAAGACAATGGAATGCGTTGTAATAAACACGAACTTGAAGTCTGAAGTATGATTTTGATAGTTATAACAAGACAGTTCCTATATCAATAACAAAGCTGTAGACTGCCTGAGGAGTGTTTCTCAAAATGTTTTATGTCACAGGGCTGGGTGGTTTTGAAGAGGAAATAAAAAGGGAAAGAAATGACCATAACTGTTCAATCACGTACGTTTGGTGTAGCGAGAAAGTTGGCAGTTTGTTGTGCTGGTTTAAATTTAATATATTTATGAATTATAAAAATAGTGGTATCAGTTTTCCATAGAAAAAATCCCTCCCACCGATTCAGTTCCCTGTTATAACTGGGTCATAATGAAACGCTAGCATGCGTCAGTCACTTTTAACACTGTCCTTTAGACGGAACAGCTGACACTCGGCTGTTACACGAACAAATGACCCTCGGCTGTTACACGGAACAACTGACCCTCGGCTGTTACACGGAACAACTGACCCTCGGCTGTTACACGGAACAAATGACCTTCGGCTGTTACACGGAACAAATGACCCTCGGCTGTTACACGGAACAGCTGACGCTCGGCTGTTACACGGAAAACTGACCCTTGGCTGTTACACGGAACAAATGACCCTCGGCTGTTACACGGAACAGCTGACGCTCGGCTGTTACACGGAAAACTGACCCTTGGCTGTTACACGGAACAAATGACCCTCGGCTGTTACACGGAATAACTGACCCTTGGCTGTTACACGGAACAACTGACCCTCGGCTGTTACACGAAATAACTGACCCTCGGCTGTTAGACGTAACAACTGACCCTCGGCTGTTACACGTAACAGCTGACCCTCGGCTGTTACACGGAACAGCTGACCCTCGGCTGTTACACGTAACAACTGACCCTCGGCTGTTACACGGAACAGCTGACGTTCGGCTGTTACACGGAAAACTGACCCTCGGCTGTTACACGGAACAACTGACCCTCGGCTGTTACACGGAACAACTGACCCTCGGCTGTTACACGGAATAACTGACCCTTGGCTGTTACACGGAACAACTGACCCTCGGCTGTTACACGAAATAACTGACCCTCGGCTGTTACACGTAACAACTGACCCTCGGCTGTTACACGTAACAGCTGACCCTCGGCTGTTACACGGAACAGCTGACCCTCGGCTGTTACACGTAACAACTGACCCTCGGCTGTTACACGGAACAGCTGACGTTCGGCTGTTACACGGAAAACTGACCCTTGGCTGTTACACGGAATAACTGACCCTCGGCTGTTACACGGAATAACTGACCCGTGGCTGTTACACGGAACATTTGATCCTTGGCTGTTACACGGAACAAATGACCCTCGGAGTAGCTGTGTCCTTGTTTTTGCATTGAAGAGGCCTATGTGTTATACAAAGTATCAAACGAGAAGATAGAACTGGAATAATGTGATGCAATAAGACATGTTGAAGTTACTCTGTAGAAAACAGGAGGCCCATTGACTTAGACGGTCACGTGACAAATCTCAACCAAACTTGAGTTACGAAGAGCGTATTGATATAAGGTTGCATACTAAGCTTCACCAACATCTGTTCATATTTTTTTCAAAAGTTCCATGAAAAGAGCACAGCAAAGGGCCATAACTCCAAAAATGATGTTCGAATAAGTCTCATTTTAAACAGCCGATAAGATCTTATCGTAATAAGACTACATACCTAGTTTCACCAAGATCTGATCATATTTACTAAAGTTATCGTGTTCACAAAGTCAAAAAAGTAATTACGATTTAAAGGGCCAAAACTCTGCAAATTACCATGAAAATGGTCCTATTGTCGTACCTATCCGAGATCGTACTAAAATGAGATTGCATAAAAAGTTTCATCCAGATCTGTTCATATTTACTCAAGTAATCGTGTTCACAAGAAAAAAATGATCGCACGACGAAGGACGATGAACGATCGCTGTGTCACCATGACCTACGGACATGACTTCATATATATTCAGGGTCTTTTTTTCCAACGTTTGATCGAAAGTTTGAATATAATGGCCAAATCAAATATATGATATATAATTCAGTGATGTTACATATTTACACACATGGCATTCTCGTATTGGAAGAGATAACAAGAGATCCCAGAGGGATCTTTGCGCCCACCATTTGAGGATCTGTTTTCAGTTCTTGAAGATTTGTTTGTTACAGGTGTTGTAAATGTTCATGAACTGGTCTTCATTGAATGTACTCAATGATGGCACAAGATATTTTTATTAAGCACCTATTAGCAAATATCATTTGAAAAAGATCCCAAAGTATTATTAGATAGCAGTCAGTTACAGGTGGATAATGGACAATATGCTTGTGCTGTATTACTGTCGACATCCAAGATGGCTGCCTGTGGGCCACCTTGATTTCAAATCAGTCCAAAAAAGGTACAATGCACAACTAGGGACCAAGGGAAACCAATATCTATGAAATATCAGAAGGATCCATCCAATACTTCCTCAGATACAGCAGTAACAAGATTTCACTCTCACAATCCAAGATGGCTGCCTGTCAGCCATCTTGATTTCGGATCAGTCCCAAAAGGTACAATGCACAACTTGGAACCAAAGGGAACCTGCTTATGAAATTTGAGAAAGATCCATCCAGTACTTTCCAAGAAATAGCAGCAACAAACTTTTACATTCAAAATACAAGATGGCCACCTGTCAGCCATCTTGAATCCAAAAAAGGTACAATGAATCAGTCCAGTACTTTCCAAGAAATAGCAGTAACAAAAAAAAGGTACAATGCACAACTAGGGACCAAGGGGAACCTGCATATGAAATTTGAGAAAGATCCATCCAGTACTTTTCCAGAAATAGCGGTAACAAGAATTGTTTACAGACGGATGGACGGACGGACCACGGACCACGGACGGCGGGGCGATTTGAATACCCCACCATCTGATGATGGTGGGCTAATAAAACACGGAGACGACTTTAATCCTGCCCGCGCGAGTCTAATTATTGTGAAATCCTTCAGGTTCACAGAACCAGTTACGGTGTGCAAGCCGCCTCTGTGACTGAACCGTTTCCTAATCTAAATCCTCCGAGATATTTTTGACATAAGACTGCATACTAAGTTTCATCAACATAGGTTAATATTTTCTCAAACTCTCGTGTTCACAAGATCCGTGTTAATAACACTGCGAAGGGACATAACTCTTATATAACCGGAAGTCATTCGGAAGGATGTGTTTAACAAGGTAAAATGTCAAATCTAAGATATAGTAATGGCTGTAAATTTCATAGTCGTTCTAAATCACGTTGTTATCGAGGACGAAAGAGATACTGAAGAAGGATATTTTGATAGAGAGGTAAATAGTTCTTGGACGTCGCGGAAATTTGAACCATAACTTTTAAAAAAATGTTTTCCCGCCACATTCGTGCCCTGTAACAAATATGTAGGTAAGTAAAAATAACTCCGAATAAGAAGGTATCAGATATAATCAACATTTTTATTTCTATTTTTATATAAAAGATTCATGACAAAACAAATCAACGTTTCTTCATTATTTATAACATTTAAGGTACATTGTGAAACAAACTTTTTTCAGCATCGTGGAACAATTTCTGCATATATCAATGATTTTCGACAACGTTTTGGAGGAATAAGGTTAAACTGAGCTGCAGAGAACACAATCATTTGTGTAGTAATACGTCTGTAAAAATTATATTATGCAGAACAATACTATAACAATTTTGTGATGTGAACATCACAACTAAGGTAAATATAACACAAAGTGTCAGCAATGAAAATGTTACCGAAAAACTCAATGATCTTTAAGCTTTATTAATTCATCAATCATGGGACGGGAGGCACAATATAAATGGTCTCTCCCTACCCCCTCTCTCCCCTTACACAGTATATACAATATACATTACCGATATACATCCCATAACCAATGTATGACATTTAATACGACTTCGTGATAATGAAGGTGTGTCAGGATGTTTGTTAATCAGGTAAGACTAATACCGACCACTTCAGGCCCCAGAGGTCAATGGAAACACAAAGATATTCCATTCAAAGTTATCAATTTGTTTTCAAAAAATCGACGGCTGTTAAATGATATAGAATGTTCCGACTTGCCCAGTTTGCACTCTGATCAAGCTTTGGGCAGCTAGGGCCTATGGTAGGAGTGAGGATAGCTTTGTCATAACATATTTTCAACTGACAAAATGGATATGAATTTACGATATGCGTTCATTTTTTTTAAAATATCAATGCCCAAGTGTTCAGCTATTGATATACGTCAACTTCTTCGTATCTTCATTTTCTTAAATAATTTGAATAAAAGATGGCATGCCTTCCGTATTATTTATGATTTCTTTCACCTTCCATACATATTTAACAGTAGTTCATGGCATTGTGTATCGTTAATGTAAAACATTCTAAAGTCACACTTTAAAAATATAGAAACTTATTAATTATCCCCAACATTAATGTAACCTAGGCACATTATTGGTCAAAAGAATTATTGATGGATATACAATTTCATTGTTCATAAATGATTGTTGATGAAATGAGTGTATGTCGGGGTCGAATCCAACTGGAATTGACACGAAATTAGTTAATTGAGTAACATACAAGCACACACATCACCCTACCATTTCTGCCTGTTATCAACGACGTAAACTCTCCGTAGGGGAATGATTAGGTACTAAATCAATCCTGTTATGTACATTTAACTGTAACTTCCGGTATTACTCTTTCTAGACCGTGCGCAGTGGAGTTCTGATTGCGTCACTTGATCTGCGCGGGAACTTTGTAGCGACTGCAGTGACAGCGTCTTCTTTTGGTGGACCGGAAATAAGACTAGACTGGTCGTCAGCAGAATGCTCGAAGCAGCCGAAGATGTATCGGCCTGGCCCGTATTTTGTTCGTCCCAACAGGAAGTTGGCAAAGATTTGCTCGTATCCCTCTAAAGTCAGCGGATAACGTCCATGCTGTAACACATCAATTCATACTGATGATAAGATAGAAAACAAATATAGTTTTACGGTTCAGAAAATACACATATCCTCGACACTGTTCTTCTTTGACCTCTTTGGATTTCCTCAGTCGCCTCCAAGGCTTCATAATTCAGCCCTACCATCCTTGTCACTAACGAGTTCTAGAAGGATGCAGCAGCTGTATGGTACAGTTAAATTTAATATTTAGCTAAACAGCATCTAATTCTAAATTTGCGATAAAATATGCTATTCGCTTGTGTGTGTCTTATATACAACCAATACACTGCTGCCACATGCTATTCTTTCATCATAGTTATCAGTCTTATTAACGTTTTTAATGTTTTTTTTTTAAATTAAAATGGATATGAAGTGTATATCGACCTAATTCAGATATCAAGGAGTTTTTGTCACGTGACTTGCTTAAATCTTAACAGGTATTTAATACATACAAATATAAGTCACCGTAGTTATAGAGAAAAGCATAGTCATGATATCAGAAGAAAAACTCAGCAGTTTTACTTTTAAAATTTCAGTGAAATCTTAATAATATAAACTATCAAAAAAGCGTAGTCCACAAAATTGCCCGGATTTTCAGCTGTTTACTCATTCAAGAGTTTATTAGTTGGACGTAATAAAGTTTATAAGATAAATCCTGGTACGAATAAAAACCTGATCTACTCACGTCTGTCATCTCGTTGAATGCTCTGTTGGCCAGTCCGCCGGCTTCGTCTGCTGGTATCTTTACAAACGACTCATAAAACTCCCGGATTTCTAGCGCATCCAAATGACCATCTTCTTTCGTATCCATGACCCGGAACAGTGACCTCGGTAATAGCCGGAGCCATATTGGGAAATTATGCATTCCCATACATCCGGGTATCATATGTTCCCATAACGACATCCAAGCATCAACACCAATCAATTCTGAAAATCGAATTACACAGATGTCTAATTAACATATTCGGCAGCTTCTGTCAGGACAAAGACAAATACTTACCACGGTATAACATTGATAACGTGTAACATGACCGATGTGAGTTGTGCATTACCAGGCGGACGGTGCATGAAAATTATGACTCTAATGTTAACAAAGTTAGGTTACCTCCCCTTACCGTTTTCTCGGAGAACAGAGAAATCCCTCGATTTTACATCTTCATATATACATTTACGGTAGGCCTGCTAAGATGCAGGAGATGTATCTACCTGAGTTGATGTCAGTTTTTTCGTGCAAAACCTCGAAGAATGTAGAATGCACTTCATAGAGTTCTACAGCCGCCGCCGACCGCTCCTCCCATCCAGTATACTCTATTATTTTCTGTAAGGAATGAAACAATTTGAGTCGTATGTTGATAAAACAGAAATAATTTTTATTGTGTATTACTCATGGACGATTCATGGATATTGGTGAACTTATCTTATACGTCACAACTTTGTGTACGTTACTGAAAAGTATTACAGTGAATATTACTTATAAATGTCATGTCTTTAGTGTACGTTACTCATAAACGTCATGTCTTTAGCGTTTGTTACTTATAAACGTCATGTCTTTAGCGTTTGTTACTTATAAACGTCATGTGTTTAGCGTTTGTTACTTATAAACGTCATGTGTTTAGCGTTTGTTACTTATAAACGTCATGTGTTTAGCGTTTGTTACTTATAAACGTCATGTCTTAAGTGTATGTTACTTATAAACGTCATGTCTTTAGCGTTTGTTACTTATAAACGTCATGTGTTTAGTGTTTGTTACTTATAAACGTCATGACTTTAGTGTACATTACTTATAAACATCACGTCTTTTAGTTGATGTTAATCTTAAATGTCTTGTATTTATATCACCACATTGTTTAATGGTAGGAAATAACATTGATGTACACGACTGATATAAAAGATTTCTATCGTGTCCTAGACTTTTAGACATTTAGAGACCTCACCATTATACCTAAAATGACCCGAAGGGATTTGTATGGATTTAATGACTTGTTATGATAAGGTCTGTGATTATTTTAGCCTCCACTTAAAACAAATGTCGGTCAAGCGATGGGCACATGTGTCCTAGACTCGGTTATAACCGGAACAAGGACGTTAAGCTCCAAAAAAGAAAGAAAAGACGATGGGCACAGTTCTATTTATCTACAGGAAGATATTGTCAACCAGAAAATCGATTAAGTAGACTTGGAACAGATTAAAAATGTAGTTATTCCAATAGAAAACGTTAAACTCAGGCTTCTAGTACAAACCACAGACAGAAACAATTGTCAAAAAGAAAATCACTTTTTGTTTTGTACCGAGCACCAAACGATTAAGAATTTTACTTATTGATAAGACTGGTAGGATAGTGTAAGCTACCAGCCAACATCGTACCTGTACATTGTACTAATAGGTCTCAATTCCCTTGTGTTTCATTAGGAATTCTACGACTCTTGTTTACACAGCTATAACCGACCTTCACCGGTATTTTTGTGTTGGTCAGTCGACACTCCGTCCAAGTCTGTTAAATAACACTGACCAGGTTAGTAGGTCACAGCCGTTGACGGCCTTTCACCAGCGAGTTTTAACAAATCCTTGTGTGTATATCCTCAAGTGTTTATGTGTAAACCATACACAACAAAGCCATTGCCTGTTACTGATTCAATATCGCTGTATCGAATTTTCATAAGATCAATTTTAAGTTCGGATTTTGTATTTTACTTGACTGTCTATATAACACGGGACTTTATGACAATTGTCTCTAAATGCGGGGTTTCTTTTCAGGAAAACTGTTTTCAATACTTTCAGAGGAAGAGGATTTTTAGAGGTAAAATTGACAGTAACTTCAAAATCAAAGTACTGAAAGTACTGAGAGGCTAAACGTATTCACAAATAACCGCTAAGCTATATTACTTTCACCATACTCATACACTTTGGAATGCAAAAATTACTAAAATAAGAGAACCAGAGGCTATTTTTCTTAATTTTAAGCGATTTTATATCTTCTTTAATTCTTCTTTCAAATTTGACGACAATAAATACATCAAAATAGGTAAAAAAAAAAAAAAAAAACCACAAAATACACACAACGATATATTTATCGTCAACAAGCCAAATGATAAATAACTCTATGGTGAAGTTGACTAAATAAAACCTTTGAAATACCCAAGATGATGCAATTACTATCCTATCAATATGAGGATTTAAACAAATCGAAAGGACTTTATACCTACTTCTTTATTTTGAATGTATTGCAAAGTAATAGTCCTTACTTATTATAATTATATTTGTAGTTGAGGAAAGTAGATAAGGTGTACACAGCATTTCAGATAGATAAAAGTGTAAGTAATTACACTAAATGACTATCTTCCTTGAAGTATCATGGTAAGACTTTTCTTCCAGTAATTATGTCTATAAAGACATAGATTTATGAGATTAAACCAGACTTCCCTATATATACAAAATTTACAATATTTTCAATATAGCTACTACTATTTCTGATCTCCAATGCATTAGATAATGTCACCACGACACGCTAAATGAATAAATATGTTATGGAAATATTTCGTTTTAGTTAATTGATAATTATAAACATGAATATTTTGGGTTTTTTTTACGCGCTTTGTTTGAAGGAATATTTTCATTTCAAGGAACTCTGATACACATTAACAAACATAGAGAAATCAGCACAATCAACCTTCATCAAATAAAACTAAAAGACAAAATATATAAGTTATAACAAAGTCAACATCACTTTTTATCTTCAAAAACTTGAAAAAGTGTCATGGCGGTGGGTGTGAAAGTCATGAAAGTGTCATATCGGCGGGTGTGCGCGTAGGACGAACAGTCCAAGTTTGTGACGTCTAATGAGATAAAATGATGTTATATATTAAGACGATCTTGCCACAACGACAAGGATTAAAACAAAATTGATGTTCTGTTTGTAAGTTTTGTTTGTTTATAAGTGCTGTAAGTTGATAATTCAAACCAAGCCACCAGACTAGCTTCTTATGGCGCCAACTCGCACGTACAGTGTTCTGTGCGCTTACGTCATGTCGAGAATTTCGTAAAATATATTGTTCAAAATTTATCAAACTAATTTTGGATGCTTTTAAAATAGCGATTTGAAAAGTCGCGGCATTATTTACGCAGAAAATTGCCGCTAGAGGGCTCTAACTCTTTTCGATATTTCAGCCAATGAGAAGGCAAGGATCGGTAAATTTTGTCTGAAAGGCCGTCGCAATAGGCTATGCGTACTGAGTACGTTTAGCCTAATTATATAAATGAAGAAAAATTGTAGTTCATTGAAAAATACCACCTGCTTTAAGATTTTGTTACAAACCGCACGGTGCGATTCCTATCACCGACTTCTTCACCGATAAACACGTTTTAATTGTGTTAACAATGATAGAATCATTTCTGCCTCATGTACAGAAATCAATTAACAGACAGACTGATGGTATTTATGGTTCTACTGGCGAAGTTTTAGGTCTTAGAAACTGATCATAATACTTCTTGTCGTGGTTTTAACTATTGTAGACATACAGATTGATTTAACCAACAGAATGTGATGTTAGTAGATCGGTAGATCCACAACCAAATAGTATTCAATACTTTGTGTATGATTTCCCTGATAGGGTTTATACATCTCACATATTTACATTCTGTCTGTACGGATTTATATATTCCTGGCTGAATGTCTCGTTCTACAATGATACAGAGATACCTGTGGATTATACAGATGGGGGATAGGAATACCCCAGTTTGTATGTAACCTCAGGTTCTGATCCCTTATGTGTGGTTCGACACTCCCTTCTCGTGTCGGTTTGTGTTTTAGCAATAGAAATGTCTTTACTGACGTGTGTGTTGTCATCTAGTCAGCCCTTTAACCTCGTTATATGTTATAGAATTCGCCTGGCCTCTGATACCCATCAGTGGCCATCAGCTACTACGGGAAGACCCGAACCTCAAAATGACTATAATTGTTCATGGGACGATAAACCCAGGAAACAAACAATGTTTTGTACAATCTTTCCAAACATCACTGTGTTGTTGTAGATTGTCTTCAGGACATAGCAGTGTAGAGGATGATTGCTGTTCCAGGCCTGCGAACTCCAACTGTCGACAGAAGCTGTTTATCTTTACCTGTATAAATCGACCTCAGAGGTACAACTTTATCCCTGGGTTTTTTGTTACTGTATAACCTACCTGGAATAAGAGAGTAAGGTCTTTTTTCATCAGGTACCCATCGCCATCGACATCTGTCATAAAATGAAACGAAATTTGATAAGATGCAGTTATTTCGAGTACTGGAGATCTCGAACTCCGTTAAGACCTCCCCATCAACTCGAATAGTTTGTAAGTTTACAAATTAAACCATGTAAAGTAAAAATGGATGGATGGATGGATGGATGGATGGACGGATGGAAAAATAAAACTGGATGGATGGATGGATGGACGGATGGATGGATGAATGGATGGATGGATGGAGGGATGGATGGAGGGAGAGATGGATGGACGGCTGGATTGATGGATGGATGGATGGATGGAAAAATAAAACTGGATAGATGGATGGATGGGCGGATGGATGGATGAATGGATGGATGGATGGCACGTGCAATTCTGGTTAATTAAAAGGTCAATTATGTAGAGTCCCTATATTAAAGTAATACATGTTATGATCGGACCAGGGACCTCTTGCATACTAGTGCAACACTCTACCGTTCGAGCATAGACAAGTTATCTCAAGCCCAGTAAAATGTTGAGGCTGTAGTATTTATAGAGTTATCTCCCCTTCACCTAACCCCGGGGAAAAGACGACCTCCCAGAGTTCGGAGCAAGACTTTGTATTTTTGTCAATAACTTCCCGTGTCCCTTCTTTGGCGCCATTGTAACAGATATATGTATAGTTGAGAGTCGAAAGCGGTCTACCGTACAGAGTGTCAGGGTCATTGTCAGTCCACTGACCATAGGCTGCACTGTCTGAAATTTGAGTTACACCACTGCTACTCATACTCCACTATAAATAGAACACACACACACACACAATACTTTAGTCCTGTCCTATACACAGCCACATGTTTTGTACCACAGCTTTTCATCAACCCCGACTCTCAGTGTTATTGTTCGCATATCCACATCGCGGACCACAATGTGTAGCATTCCATATATATATATCGCGGACCACAATGTGTAGCATTCCATATATATCTATATATATAAATTTGTATTCTCGTTGTTACTTTCTCGTTACAAAATTGATCTGTTTTAAGATTCATTGGTCCTCGACCACTAAGGATATTGTTCTCCAAACTCTCGACTTTGTGTTTTTATTTACACACTTAGGGGTCAAAAGTTCAGCCGAACCGCTACAGTAATATAACTAGCTTGTTTACAGTAGATTTATTTTCCTGTTGTTTACAACTGATTACGTCGGCAATTTTATCAGATAAATACCATGTCTACCCATACTTACCAAAAAATTTGAAGTAGTACTCAAGCTTTTCCCTTTGGAACGGTGATAACACAGCCGTGCCTCTCTCTGTAAACAACAATCAGTATGTTACCCAGTACTCTGTTACCCAGTACTCTGTTATTGATTTATAAGTAATTCTGTACTTACGTTTCCGTCTGTCTTCTCAGACCCCAGTGATAGGGTTACAGATGTTGTTTTTTTTTACTTTTTTTTAATGTGAAAGATTGACTTTTAACCTATAGCTGGAATGAGCGACATTCATGATAAGTAATTTGATTGACGGACAACACGCGATAAGACACAGAAGACAGATAGCTTATTGGTAAAGATAGTTATGTAACATAATGCAAATTATACAGAGAAATTACAGACACAGCACGTAAGTGCTTAACACAAATCTAGTAAGGAATCCCAATCAGAATTAAGTAGTGTACTCAGTGGCTAATGCCTGGTGTCGCCAGTGTGGAATTATATATTTAAAAGTAGAGAAATTCGAAAATATTGAGCAGCTGTCCTGGTTTCTGAGGACAGCATGGAAAATAACAACAAGAACTACAACAACAGCGAAATATAGTGTTTGAAAATAAATAAAAAATAAAAAAAGAAATTGTAAGGCTGACACAATTATAATCAATGACGACTGCAAGGAAAAACACAGAACATGTTTACTACAACACAGAAAACAACACAGGAAGCAACATGTTTACTACAACACAGAAAACAACACAGGAAGCAACATGTTTACTACAACACAGAAAACAACACAGAAAGCAACATGTTTACTACAACACAGAAAGCAACATGTTTACTACAACACAGAAAACAACATGTTTACTACAACACAGAAAGCAACATGTTTACTACAACACAGAAAGCAACATGTTTACTACAACACAGAAAGCAACATGTTTACTACAACACAGAAAGCAACATGTTTACTACAACACAGAAAACAACACAGAAAGCAACATGTTTACTACAACACAGAAAGCAACATGTTTACTACAACACAGAAAACAACATGTTTACTACAACACAGAAAACAACACAGAAAGCATCATGTTTACTACAACACAGAAAGCATCATGTTTACTACAACACAGAAAACAACATGTTTACTACAACATAGAAAGCAACATATTTACTACAACACAGCGAGTGAAAATGACTACATTTTAAACATCTATTAAAATAATTCATAATAAGCAATGCTAATTACATGCCTGAATTTAAATCTTACAAACCACTGTTCGTTAGTTTACACGCGTGTGTCCATACCAACCTTGTTGTAGATTTCGGACTGTTAGTAAACACAAAACAAACATGTACCAGAAAGCGAATTGGCCATTACCACTGCAGACAGTTACACCGTCAACGACCACAGCACGAACTACAGTGAAACATGTTTTATTTATGAATTACTTACGTACAACTGGAGTTCCAATTAGCATAATGTCGTTTTTTGCACTGTATAGGAATCCTACGTTCTGTTTCACTCCTGGTCAAGGACTGGTCAGCGCCTTGCTCGGAGGTGTTGTTTGTAAGTTATGTCCGTGACCTGCTTATCTGTATTGATTGACGGACCGGCACTAAACGTCCACGTCCTTGAGGTAGCCGAGCTCGGGACAAAAAATAACGTAGTAGGACGTCTGTACAGTGTACAATCAGAACACGTTAGCATGTCATACCTCGTCTATAGACAACAGGATTATGTAACAAGGGTATTACGTGATCTAAACATGCGATACTGATTAATGAAAACAATAGCCTTTAACGACCTAGTAATAAGTGAGTTAATTATTTGAAATGTAGGAGAATATTGATTAGAAATCTGTATTATGGAATTAACGCCAGATAATGATCGCCTAACCAGAACAGCTTCAGGACAATAACATGTATAAAACCCATAAGATCAGGTGTTCCGGAAGAGTAAACGTCTTCTGCTTCATCGACGACATCCGCTACATAAATTGCGGTCAATCCAAATAAGTAATGCCAGGTTCTTAAGAAAAAGAACAGGGTTTACAACAACGGAACAAATAGACAAACTAAAGAGCATTAAACACGTCCAACTTCAAATCACAAAAAGAAAAGAAAATATTTCCCAATAAGACGACCATAAATTTCCCAATAATGTTCATCAACGTAATTGACAAGATCTCGTTTTGAGTTCTTCTATTTTCTTGTACTATATTAATTATACTGGTGGTAACGAGGTCATAGTGGTAGGCCATATTCGCATTTCAGAATAAAAAGTGGAGACAGCTACCCGGTACATAGTAGGACTGACCAAAAAGTGGAGACAGCTACCCGGTACATAGGACTGAACAAAAAGTGGAGACAGCTACCCGGTACATAGTAGGACTGACCAAAAAGTGGAGACAGCTACCCGGTACATAGTAGGACTGACCAAAAAGTGGAGACAGCTACCCGGTACATAGTAGGACTGACCAAAAAGTGGAGACAGCTACCCGGTACATAGTAGGACTGACCAAAAAGTGGAGACAGCTACCCGGTACATAGTAGGACTGACCAAAAATTGGAGACAGCTACCCGGTACATAGAAGGACTGACCAAAATGTGGAGACAGCTACCCGGTACATAGAAGGACTGACCAAAAGGTGGAGACAGCTACCCGGTACATAGTAGGACTGACCAAAAAATGGAGACAGCTACCCGGTACATAGTAGGACTGACCAAAAAGTGGAGACAGCTACCCGGTACATAGTAGGACTGACCAAAAATTGGAGACAGCTACCCGGTACATAGGACTGACCAAAAGGTGGAGACAGCTACCCGGTACATAGGACTGACCAAAAAGTGGAGACAGCTACCCGGTACATAGTAGGACTGACCAAAAATTGGAGACAGCTACCCGGTACATAGTAGGACTGACCAAAAAGTGGAGACAGCTACCCGGTACATAGGACTGACCAAAAAGTGTAGACAGCTACCCGGTACATAGTAGGACTGACCAAAAAGTGTAGACAGCTACCCGGTACATAGTAGGACTGACCAAAAAATGGAGACAGCTACCCGGTACATAGGACTGACCAAAAAGTGGAGACAGCTACCCGCTACCCTCCCTCTACCCGTCATTTTTTATGTTCCAGTGTATCTGTCAGTATAGGATTTTTTCATTGTTTTTATTATTGTTTTTATTTTGGGTTTATTTTTTGTTGTTTTATTTCTCAGTTCTTAAAGAATTATCATGGAACGGTTTTACACAGAGTATTAAAGGTTTTTGTTCTATCACTTCCAATGTGTTTCGCGTCTGGTGAAAAAGAGTGGTGTCATGAAAATCATCGTTTTGATCCTCAAAATTAAAATTAGGATTGAAACCCAACCATTGTATATTGTCACGTCGTGCTTTCTGTTTTGTTCAATTGTTTGTCAAAATAACTGACACAAATTTCCTGGGGATAGTTTATAGTTTATTACAAAATGATATCAGACTTAACAAGATGATAACAACCCAGACCTCTTCATCGGTCACGTGGTACTTAGAACGAGGTAATGAAACACTACTGTAAATTCGTTTTTGACGCTGAATATCAAAGAACACATTATTGCAAATTCTGCAAATTAACAAATTTTCGCGGTGGATTTATTTTCGTTAAATTTGTAGGCATTCTTAATAATGCAAATGTCCACGACTCTATGGACCACTAACATAAATATAAAGACAGATTTCTCGAGAACTATCTATCCTCGAACTTGAAATGCACGAGATTTGAACACCAAATATACAATTTTACAGTATAGCGTGTACTGCACCTGTACACTTGATTTCATCAGGATGAACAATTTCCTCATCAACCAGGATCACAACAGAACATCATCGGTTTTCACATTTCCACATGTTGAATGGAAAGAGCCACATCTTGTCATTTTAAAACTTCCAACTTTTTTCAAGTCACATTTATAAACTACATTAAGATTTCCAGCTGAGATATTTTCTAGACTAACTTGTGACAATATTTGACAACATTGTGAACCGACTGATCACAATGGGACAACACAACAAAATTCTAGTACATAGGTCTACAACATATGTATCTCATTCTAGACCTAACCATACTGTGTATTTTCTAAAATGGATTTGGAGCAAGATTGACGAGGGTAATCCTTAAGATATATGAGTATGTAATGAAATATGACTACAATCTATGTGATTTCCCTTACCAAGATATAAATTGTATTATACCAATAACGATATAGATTGATTTCTCGTCAAATGTGAAAAAGAAAAGTCAGTAAAGTCTTAATCAGTGATATTCTGTATAAGACACGTAGTCAGTACAGTGTTAATCAGTGATATTCTGTATAAGACACGTAGTCAGTACAGTGTTAATCAGTGATATTCTGTATAAGACACGTAGACAGTACAGTGTTAATCAGTGATATTCTGTATAAGACACGTAGTCAGTACAGTGTTAATCAGTGATATTCTGTATAAGACACGTAGTCAGTACAGTGTTAATCAGTGATATTCTGTATAAGACACGTAGTCAGTAAAGTGTTAATCAGTGATATTCTGTATAAGACACGTAGTCAGTACAGTGTTAATCAGTGATATTCTGTATAAGACACGTAGTCAGTACAGTGTTAATCAGTGATATTCTGTATAAGACACGTAGTCAGTAAAGTGTTAATCAGTGATATTCTGTATAAGACACGTAGTCAGTACAGTGTTAATCAGTGATATTCTGTATAAGACACGTAGTCAGTACAGTGTTAATCAGTGATATTCTGTATAAGACACGTAGTCAGTACAGTGTTAATCAGTGATATTCTGTATAAGACACGTAGTCAGTACAGTGTTAATCAGTGATATTCTGTATAAGACACGTAGTCAGTACAGTGTTAATCAGTGATATTCTGTATAAGACACGTAGTCAGTACAGTGTTAATCAGTGATATTCTGTATAAGACACGTAGTCAGTACAGTGTTAATCAGTGATATTCTGTATAAGACACGTAGTCAGTAAAGTGTTAATCAGTGATATTCTGTATAAGACACGTAGTCAGTACAGTGTTAATCAGTATATAGGTATCTGTGTTAGAGATTTGTTTTTATAAGACACGTATTTCCTGTTGTTCTTTATTCTCGAAATTAATGTTGATAGTTAAATGCTGCCTTGTCATTCTCTCAATGACAATGTAGATATCACGTGACTTTCAGTACTATTCCCTCCGGAAAGTTCGCATCGGAGTTCTAATGGCATGCGGGATTCTAACGGGAATTTTCGGTGTGACTTCAATTATGGCGTCGTCTTTCGGTGGCCCAGAAATAAGAGTATACCCTTTAGCAGAATGCTTGAAACAACCAAATATATGTCGACCTGGCCCGTATTTTGTCCTTCCCAAAAGGAAATTGGCAAAAATTTGTTCATAACTTTCCAGTGTTAAGGGATACTGTCCAAACTGCAACACAACAAAATAGTTTTACTTTTGGGAAAAGACATAAGGTTTAAAATACTCTTGACACTCTGTGGTTTGTGTCTAAATCGAATGTCACTGATATCTGATCAATATAGATATATATTGATTTAATGGAATGTAACAACAAATGGCATGCGGGATTCTAACGGGAATTTTCGGTGTGACTTCAATTATGGCGTCGTCTTTCGGTGGCCCAGAAATAACAAGAATGTAAAGCAGAAAACTTACCAAAATAACGTACACTGGTTTTAATTTGAACATTCCTTATTCAAAGGATAGGTCATGATGGCAAAAATTTGTATAGGTTTGCAGTCATTAAAAACACAAACTGCAACACAACAAAATAGTTTTACTTTTGGGAAAAGACATCACACACACACACACACACACACACACACACACACACACACACACACACACACACACACACACACACACACACACACACACACACACACATATATAAACTCTAACATACATGCACGCGCACACACGTAACCTATTACACACACACACACACACACACACACTCACACTGGTTTTCACACCCACACCCACACACACACAGGCACACTCACACATATAGGTTTGCGGTCACACACACACACACACACACACACACACACACACACACACACACACACACACACACACACACACACACACACACACTCACTCACACTCACACCCACACACACACACACACACACACTCACTCACACTCACACCCACACCCACACCCACACCCACACACACACACGCACACTCACACATATACGCACCCTCACATCACACACACAAGCACGCACGCACACAAAATTGAAATTTCAGTCTTGCGTGAAATTTGGAATAAAAATTGAAAGAATAGCATGCAAGTGGGTATGCATGGTCACTTCATAGAACCGGAAATGGGTTAGAACTCACATCTGTCATTTCGTTGAATGCCTGTTCTGCCAGATCACCAGCTTCCTGTGGAGGAATCTTCACAAACGACTCGTAAAACTTCCGGATCTCTTCAGTGTACAGATACCCGTCATCATTTGTGTCCATCACCCGGAACAGTGACTTCGGAAGTAGGCGGAGCCAGATAGGGAAATTATGCATTCCCATACATCCGGGTAGCATATGCTCCCATAGCGCCATCCAATCACTGAGCTCAATTCGGTCTAAATTAGATTAGAGAAAAAAATAATGATCAGTGAACATTTTCATTTTGGCCAAGTATTCATGTAGTTCCTTGAAAGTGTAATAATTTTTACCTTTCGTTTCCTTTCGCGACGAAAGGTCAACCATTGTCTTGTTCTTCATACATGTAACAAAGTATTCTCAAAGTGTATACGTCACCAAGTTTCTACCCTTAAAGAGTATACGTTACCAAGTTTGTATTCTAAAAGTGTATACGTCACCAAGTTTATACCCTTAAAGTGTATACGTTACCAAGTTTGTATTCTAAAAGTGTATACGTCACCAAGTTTGTATTCTCAAAGTGTATACGTCACCAAGTTTATACCCTTAAAGTGTATACGTTACCAAGTTTGTATTCTAAAAGTGAATACGTCACAAAGTTTATACCCTTAAAGTGTATACGTTACCAAGTTTGTATTCTAAAAGTGTATACGTCACCAAGTTTGTATTCTAAAAGTGTATACGTCACCATGTTTGTATTCTCAAAGTGTATACGTCACCAAGTTTGTATTCTCAAAGTGTATACGTCACCAAGTTTGTATTACAGCGAATACGTCATCAATTATGTGTTATTAAACTATGAATTTTAATGCACATCAGTGCACTTCTTAACAACCATTAAAAGATGCCAAAAGGCCATATACAGTCACGTGTAACGTGTCTATAACATCTAAAACACGTGTCGTCTATATCATCTAACACACGTGTGTTCTATAACATATAAAACATGTGTGGTCTATAACATCTAACACACGTGAGGTCTATAACATCTAACACACGTGAGGTCTATAACATCTTACAAAAATGTGACCTATAACATCTAACACGCGTGTGGTGTATAACATCTAACACACGTGTGGTCTATAACATCTAACACACGTGTAGTATATAACATCTAATACACGTGTGGTATATAACATCTAACACACGTGTGGTCTATAACATCTAACACACGTGTGGTCTATACCATCTTACACACGTGTGGTCTATATCATCCTACACCCGCGTGGTCTATAACATCTAACACACGCGTGTTCTATATCAAAATCCGGGTCTGATTAACCGCAATAAAGTGTCATCACGATGAATTATAACTTACGTAAAACACACAAGTAGCAGTACAACACGATTTACAATATCAGTCTTCAGGATTTCTTTACAGACTGGGGTGTCGACAGCTGAACATTTTTTTCTTCAAACTATTAAAGTACACAGTGTAATGAAAATAACACTGGAGTCAGTTTTGCTTATGAAATGTACGTGATTTGTAACAAAACCATGTACATTTCACTATTGTAAGTTGTAAATGATATACTGCTTCTGTGATTCGACTATGCTCAGTGTATCTGGAGGTTTAACCAGGGAATTAAATTATATACAATATACAATACAAATTTGTTTATTAAAGTGTCATATATCACAATTACATCATATGTAAAGTACACAATATAAAACCATAGTGCCAAAAGGCCATCAATACATTAAACACAGGTAAATCCAATATCATGAACTAGACATTGTCTAAAACACGTAATACCTACCCCTTATGATAGTTTCATAAGAAATATACACACGTGTGTTGAAAGCAACTTTCATCAAAATCCAATGAAAATACAGAACAGATATATGAGGTCTATAACATCAGGGTAACACACGTGAGGTTATAACAAGTATCATCTTAAAGAAACAAATGTGACCTATTCTAACATCTCAGCCAATCAGATTGCAGCAGTAAATGGTGTTCGGCAAACATCGAACACACGTGTACCAAGTATCATAAGCAAGTTTCATCGAAACACACGTGTAGATATATAGACATGTAAAACATTCAGCCAATCAGATTGCAGCAGCCTCATTAAATATGCGCGGAATTTGGCAAACACACACGTTATGTACCAAGTATCATAACATGTTTCATCGAAATCCCATCATTACACACGCTTCTCAAGATATCGCGCGGAAAGCGAAACCGACAGACATGTAAAACATTCAGCCAATCAGATTGCAGCAGCCTCATTAAATATGCGCGGAATTTGGCGAACATCGAACCGAGGGACTTATGTACCAAGTATAAAGTGTCGAAATCACGATCATTTATTAAGATATCGTGCGGAAAGCAAAAACACACAAGTACAGACGGACAGACGGACAGACGGACAAATATAGGGCACCCGCATCGCTGCGGGGATTTACTTATCACAGATCGTAATCTAGAGAACAGGTGATTGGGACAGCCCCTACCTAACAAGCTCTCTTTATATCGAAATATATAAATTATAATATATATTGTATACTAAAATAGGTCATCCATACTGTAGCTACATGTTATATATGAAATAATAAAACAATACACATGGCAAAAATTATTTATGATACATCCATCAGTAGTGAAATTTGGCATTCCAAGGGTTGAGAATGTAGGTTTTTGTAACAAAACGCTACCTACAATAATTAATTATAATTAATAATAGATAATCAATCGATATAAAAAAGTTTCTGATTTAAAAGAATCAATTAAAGCATATATTCTAAAAATGTAATCATACGTGATATTCAGCCAGAAATGGCTTACAAGACACTGTTAAAACATTGATTACTCACTTAAAGTGCTACGTCTCCGGAACATATTGTATAAATTATTAGCAAGTGGAATTTGTAATTCCCTGCAAGACATTATAAAATCAAATTTTTCTAAATAAATATATATATAACGTGTCAAAAAACTCTCCTGAATGAGGTCATAGCCGGCGCACGTGACAAAATATGTTGACGCAGGTGGAACCAAGCGAACAAGGCCACCATGTCACAATTACTGTAGGTAATGATCTCTGTTGCTAGTCATGATACTGGTCACGTGTCTTAGACAGTTGTACTCGCATATAGTATCGGGAATGACCATCAGTATTATACAGATAGTTAAAGAAAATATTAGTGTTACAAAAATCATATTTCAATTCATTTGTAAAAGATTTAACTTTACAATTCATCTATTTATAAGGAACATTTGATCAACGATCAAAATGGACAGAGAAATAGACTGTTGTTGTTTAAATCAGCTCTTCTCCTAGGCAGTATAGTAAATATTCCGGCTTACAATCCGGAGTTTTTACAACATAAATAATATATTATGACATATATATTAAGATATGTATGTTAAGAGAATATGGTAAGTTTTACTCGCCAGACATTACCAACAGCTTTCATTATTACATGTTTGGATCCGACACTCCACGCATTCATTATTTCTACAATGCTTTCATGTAGACACTGTGTCAGGAGAACGTACTGTTTTATTGAATGACGTTTGACCTTGTCTGCGTCACCGAAATACGTATGTGTTGATAACCCACGTGTATATGCATTTATTACAGATATCCGGCGACCGAGATTTTCTAACGAAATATGTAAAACACCAGTGCATTGCTGCTGTCAAAGTCACACAGGTGTTTGCACCTGTTTTATCATGGTCTGCAGAGTGTTTGACTTCTCACCTCTCCCATGTGTTACAGAACTTTGACGTTGGGTCGGTATCAACTTTCTATAATACTCTACAGCTTACATTTACGAGGCATGTTAACTTGTCTGCTACAATAATTAAGCAGAAGTCCATGCTATTTCCATTCATTAGTAAAGTAGAGTAATTTAACGACAATGATCGTGATCAGACAGAAAAAAAAACTTGCGGGTTAAAGTTCTGATAACACTTCATGTAGATAAACAGTATTACATAACAAATTGTGGCGTGATTTCAGGGATGTTCTGACAAACAAGTAACAACAAAGACATTTACTTTTACACAGAACAGGGTAACAAATCATTACAAAAAAAAATCTCATTAAAAAACTGAATAGAGATATTTAATTAGACACAAAATGTAACTCCTGCCTATTTAAAATTTCGTTATGTGATCAAACAGTGTACAGATAGACTTTCTGATTCTACTATAAACATTCATACAGGGACGGGTTAGAGAGTTATCATTACTATATAGGGACGGGTTAGAAAGTCATCATTACTATATAGGGACGTGTTAGTTATCATTACTATATAGGGACGTGTTAGTTATCATTACTATATAGGGACGGGTTAGAGAGTTATCATTACTATATAGGGACGGGTTAGTTATCATTACTATATAGGGACGGGTTAGTTATTATTACTATGTAGGGACGTGTTAGAAAGTCATCATTACTATATAGGGACGTGTTAGAGAGTTATCATTACTATATAGGGACGTGTTAGTTATAATTACTATATAGGGACGTGTTAGAGAGTTATCATTACTATATAGGGACGTGTTAGTTATCATTACTATATAGGGACGTGTTAGTTATCATTACTATATAGGGACGTGTTAGTTATCATTACTATATAGGGACGTGTTAGAGAGTTATCATTACTATATAGGGACGGGTTAGAGAGTTATCATTACTATATAGGGACGTGTTAGTTATCATTACTATATAGGGACGTGTTAGTTATCATTACTATATAGGGACGTGTTAGTTATCATTACTATATAGGGGCTTGTTAGAAAGTCATCATTACTATATAGGGACGGGAGAGTTATCATTACTATATAGTGACGTGTCAGAGAATTATTACTATATAGGGACGGGTTAGTTAGTTATCATTACTATATAGGGACGTGTTACAGAATTATCATTACTATATAGGGACGTGTTAGTTATCATTACTATATAGGGACTTGTTAGAGAATTATCATTACTATATAGGGACGTGTTAGTTATCATTACTATATAGGGGCTTGTTAGAAAGTCATCATTACTATATAGGGACGGGAGAGTTATAATTACTATATAGGGACGTGTTAGAGAGTTATCATTACTATATAGGGACGTGTTAGTTATCATTACTATATAGGGACGTGTTAGTTATCATTACTATATAGGGACGTGTTAGATCATTACTATATAGGGGCTTGTTAGAAAGTCATCATTACTATATAGGGACGGGAGAGTTATCATTACTATATAGTGACGTGTCAGAGAATTATTACTATATAGGGACGGGTTAGTTAGTTATCATTACTATATAGGGACGTGTTACAGAATTATCATTACTATATAGGGACGTGTTAGAGAGTTATCATTCCAATATAGTGACGTATCTAAGGTTTATAAAGCGCCAAAACTACGTGACATTACTTTCTTCTTATATAGCGTGTAACCATATTTTATAATACAATTCAGAATAACACAGAGTTAATGGGAGGCCATTTTGTAAGTTTTCAATATACCTTTCGTGGCGCCAGTTTTCTCATGAAGAACTTCGAAGAATGTCACATGGACCTCGTACAGTTCTGTGGCGGCCGGTGATGTCTCCTGCCAGCCCGTGTAGTCTATGACTTTCTGTCGTTAACAAGGCCAAACGCCGTAAAATCATCGGAATTATTCGATTATTATTTTGTTCGATCTAAATAATACAGATTTTCCGTACTTACCTTCATTAAGACGTGGAGGTCCTTCATCATCAGGTAACCATCCCCATCAGCATCTGTATCAGAATGAAGATATATCGGTGTCTTACTGCTCATTGGTTAATACCCAGGTAGAATAGTACAGAGGGAAAGTTTTCATGTCAAAGTTCGGTCCTAGAAAGTTCAAAGTTCACATCGAATTCAAAATCAAGAATAAGCAAGCGGGGATATGTTGTCATACAATTTTCTTTGTATTTCTCTTCAGTACTCAAGTTTTCTCTCACATTAAGATTCCCTGCGTGCTTCAGCTTGAAAATATCTCGAATATATTATTGTAACCAGTCTTGTGCAGAATATATGTGACCTTACAAACCAAACTTAGGTGTAGTTGGGCCTACATAAGAGACTTGAATCTTGCATCTATCTGGGCCAATAAAGAGAGATTTACAGAAAAAAAGTGATTTAGTATAACAATGTTGACTATAGACCTCTCCGAGATAAAACTCACGCATGCGTATAACGGGTTTGGTGGACGCGAGTTTGGTGGGGGGTGGGGGGAAAAGGGGGGGGGGGACAATTACCAAGATTGCGTCGCGCCAAGTTTCAACAGAGGTAATACCACTTTTTTGGTTGAATGCGCAACACACGTTATAATATCGTCTATCAGTAACCATGGTGTGATACAGGTTTTATTATACAATGTATTTTATAGAGTTTTGATAGGTCCGTAAGTACAGTCGGCTGTGTATGGTTTATCTAAATATAGAAACCCTTTGATGTCACATTTTTTCAATAAAATGGATTTTTTCACGCATCCACATCTCGTGTGAGAAAATTCAAAAGTAGAAAGTTGGCTTTTGATGACTCAGTGATTCAAAAACATCTAGATATATATTTTGTAGTATTAACACATTCTACTCGCCTAAGAAGTTACCTTGTTTTGTTATTTATTATTATCGGCACTCGACCTCTCCCTTCTCCCACTGTCTACAACACCAGACAACGGCATGACTGTAAAACCCGATCTGTCTCTCTCCCTTCTCCCACTGTCTACAACACCAGACCTTTCTACCCCATCTCTGTCTCTCTCCCTTCTCCCACTGTCTACAACACCAGACCTTTCTACCCCATCTCTGTCTCTCTCCCTTCTCCCACTGTCTACAACACCAGACCTGTCTCTCTCCCTTCTCCCACTGTCTACAACACCAGACCTGTCGACCCCATCTGTCTCTCTCCCTTCTCCCACTGTCTACAACACTAGACCTTTCTACCCCATCTCTGTCTCTCTCCCTTCTCCCACTGTCTACAACACCAGACCTGTACCCCATCTCTGTCTCTCTCCCTTCTCCCACTGTCTACAACACCAGACCTGTCGACCCCATCTGTCTCTCTCCCTTCTCCCACTGTCTACAACACCAGACCTGTAGACCCCATCTGTCTCTCTCCCTTCTCCCACTGTCTACAACACCAGACCTGTCAACCCCATCTCTGTCTCTCTCCCTTCTCCCACTGTCTACAACACCAGACCTTTCTACCCCATCTCTGTCTCTCTCCCTTCTCCCACTGTCTACAACACCAGACCTGTCAACCCCATCTGTCTCTCTCCCTTCTCCCACTGTCTACAACACCAGACCTGTCGACCCCATCTCTGTCTCTCTCCCTTCTCCCACTGTCTACAACACCAGACCTGTCAACCCCTTCTCTGTCTCTCTCCCTTCTCCCACTGTCTACAACACCAGACCTGTCGACCCCATCTGTCAACCCCATCTGTCTCTCTCCCTTCTCCCACTGTCTACAACACCAGACCTTTCTACCCGATCTCTGTCTCTCTCCCTTCCCCCACTGTCTACAACACCAGACCTGTCAACCCCATCTCTGTCTCTCTCCCTTCTCCCACTGTCTACAACACCAGACCTGTCGACCCCATCTCTGTCTCTCTCCCTTCTCCCACTGTCTACAACACCAGACCTGTCGACCCCATCTGTCTCTCTCCCTTCTCCCACTGTCTACAACACCAAACCTGTCAACCCCATCTGTCTCTCTCCCTTCTCCCACTGTCTACAACACCAGACCTGTCGACCCCATCTGTCTCTCTCCCTTCTCCCACTGTCTACAACACCAGACCTGTCGACCCCATCTCTGTCTCTCTCCCTTCTCCCACTGTCTACAACACCAGACCTTTCTACCCCATCTCTGTCTCTCTCCCTTCTCCCACTGTCTACAACACCAGACCTGTCAACCCCATCTCTGTCTCTCTCCCTTCTCCCACTGTCTACAACACCAGACCTGTCAACCCCATCTCTGTCTCTCTCCCATCTCCCACTGTCTCTCTGTCTCTCTCCCTTCTCCCACTGTCTACAACACCAGACCTGTCAACCCCATCTGTCTCTTTCCCTTCTCCCACTGTCTACAACACCAAACCTGTCTACCCCATCTCTGTCTCTCTCCCTTCTCCCACTGTCTACAACACCAGACCTGTCGACCCCATCTCTGTCTCTCTCCCTTCTCCCACTGTCTACAACACCAGACCTGTCGACCCCATCTCTGTCTCTCTCCCTTCTCCCACTGTCTACAACACCAGACCTGTCTACCCCATCTCTGTCTCTCTCCCTTCTCCCACTGTCTACAACACCAGACCTGTCGACCCCATCTCTGTCTCTCTCCCTTCTCCCACTGTCTACAACACCAGACCTTTCTACTCCATCTGTCTCTCTCCCTTCTCCCACTGTCTACAACACCAGACCTTTCTACCCCATCTCTGTCTCTCTCCCTTCTCCCACTGTCTACAACACCAGACCTTTCTACCCCATCTGTCTCTCTCCCTTCTCCCACTGTCTACAACACCAGACCTTTCTACCCCATCTCTGTCTCTCTCCCTTCTCCCACTGTCTACAACACCAAACCTGTCAACCCCATCTCTGTCTCTCTCCCTTCTCCCACTGTCTACAACACCAGACCTGTCGACCCCATCTCTGTCTCTCTCCCTTCTCCCACTGTCTACAACACCAGACCTGTCAACCCCATCTCTGTCTCTCTCCCTTCTCCCACTGTCTACAACACCAGACCTGTCAACCCCATCTCTGTCTCTCTCCCTTCTCCCACTGTCTACAACACCAGACCTCAACCCCATCTCTGTCTCTTCCCCACTGTCTCTGTCTCTCTCTCTCCCTTCTCCCACTGTCTACAACACCAGACCTGTCGACCCCATCTGTCTCTCTCCCTTCTCCCACTGTCTACAACACCAGACCTGTCGACCCCATCTCTGTCTCCCTCCCTTCTCCCACTGTCTACAACACCAGAGACCCCATCTCTGTCTCTCTCCCTTCTCCCACTGTCTACAACACCCACCCCATCTCTCTCTCTCCCTTCTCCCACTCTACAACACCAGACCTGTCATCTCTCTCTCTCCCTTCTCCCACTGTCTACAACACCAGACCTGTCGACCCCATCTGTCTCTCTCCCTTCTCCCACTGTCTACAACACCAGACCTGTCAACCCCATCTGTCTCTCTCCCTTCTCCCACTGTCTACAACACCAGACCTTTCTACCCCATCTCTGTCTCTCTCCCTTCTCCCACTGTCTACAACACCAGACCTGTCGACCCCATCTGTCTCTCTCCCTTCTCCCACTGTCTACAACACCAGACCTGTCGACCCCATCTCTGTCTCTCTCGCCCGTCTCCCACTGTCTACAACACCAGACCTGTCGACCCCATCTGTCTCTCTCCCTTCTCCCACTGTCTCCCACGTGTCGTCTGTCTCTCTCCCTTCTCCCACTGTCTACAACACCAGACCTGTCGACCCCATCTCTGTCTCTCTCCCTTCTCCCACTGTCTACAACACCAGACCTGTCGACCCCATCTCTGTCTCTCTCCCTTCTCCCACTGTCTACAACACCAGACCTGTCGACCCCATCTCTGTCTCTCTCCCTTCTCCCACTGTCTACAACACCAGACCTGTCTACCCCATCTGTCTCTCTCCCTTCTCCCACTGTCTACAACACCAGACCTGTCAACCCCATCTCTCTCTCTCTCAAATCACACACTCTAAAAAACACCACAACTCTACACCCCATCTGTCTCTCTCCCTTCTCCCACTGTCTACAACACCAGACCTGTACCCCATCTGTCTCTCTCTCTCTGTCTCTTTCTCCCATCTGTCTCTCAACTTCTTACCTGTCTACAACACCACCTGTCTCTCTGTTCCCACTGTCTACAACACCAGACCTGTCGACCCCATCTGTCTCTCTCCCTTCTCCCACTGTCTACAACACCAGACCTGTCGACCCCATCTCTGTCTCTCTCCCTTCTCCCACTGTCTACAACACCAGACCTTTCTACTCCATCTCTGTCTCTCTCCCTTCTCCCACTGTCTACAACACCAGACCTTTCTACTCCATCTGTCTCTCTCCCTTCTCCCACTGTCTACAACACCAGACCTTTGTACCCCATCTCTGTCTCTCTCCCTTATCCCACTGTCTAGCGACATTGAAATATGGCGAATCTTGAAGACGACAACGTGTATGAGTACACTCGGGTCAGAACACCTGTCAAGCAAAAGGGACCGACAGTAACTATAGGTCAGCAGGGTCTAATACAGTACACTGAGGAGTTCTACTGTTAATAATGTAACATTTTATATATCAAGATGCGATGTGTTTGATGTACAGATATGCCAATACGACAAAATTGACAGGATACATGATATCATAGCAAAATCTAAAAAAAAAATCAACATTTATACTGAAGTGTTTTAGAAATGTGATTTCCTATACAAGTTAGAACCATCAAAAGACATCCTATCCCAGTTACCTTGGATACGGAGAAAGCAGACTAAACATTATTCCTACAAAATTAAGGTATTACTATAGTTCACTTAGTTATTATCTATTTAGAGTTAACATTGTTGGTAACCCTGTCTGTATGTGCGGATCTCCTTGTGACAATGTCCGTCAATTCTTTTCCGAATGTCCTAATTACAGACACCAGAGTGTAGAGTTGGTTCAAAGTTTGAATATGGATCATGAAATTAACCTAGATCGTCTATTATCAGGTATCACTGAGTTGACATAACAAAGCAGTCTTGATGTTTTTCGAAATGTGCAGACTTATAAAGATGAGCGGAAAGTTTGGTTCATGAAATAATCATATTACTTGTACAATTCTCACCTCCACCCATCTCTCTCTCTCTCTCTCCTCTCTCTCTCTCTCTCACACACACCAGACACACATTTGTCCTCTGGTTTTGAGTTGTATAAAGTTCGCTAAACATGTTAACCAGCTGAGCCAATATTTCTGTAAAGTTGAAATATGTATCACAGTAGAGTTAATGATATTGTACTAACGTGTGCCCGGTCTTATTGTCTTTTTCTTGACAATAAAATAGATTTAAAGTAAAGGAAGTACAGACAGATAACATGAAAACAAGGTGCCTTACGACCTGTTGTTTACCATAGAAAAAGTAAGAAGTCCCTGCTTATCGTGTATATTGCTAAAATCTTACCATTTCAAATATCAAAGATATAAAATCATCCTTGAATTTCTATCCTCTGGACTAAAGACAGGTGTGCGGGTAAATCTTTAAAAATAAGGGGAGATAGTCATTATCAACTGACCAACATATGTATTTTATCAACTACATTTGTTGATACTCTATCAGCACAGGTTTTGTTTTTTAAGGATGATCGCCATTTTCAAAGTTCGATGTCCAAAAATATGATAAAGTCTTCAAGCAAAACCTGTATAATCAAAACATGTTTATGATAAATTAACAGGAGGGATTATTAATACATTTATATTGGACGTTCTCGGTCGTAACACACAATGAAGACTCATAAAATCAGCATAGTCACGGTTTTCCAAGGTCCTTCACAACCTGTTAAGTTATAAAAATAATGTGTAGCCAGAAACTAAAAACCTAGCCTTATTAGGGTAAGTATGTGAGACCTACCTTAACTTGTTTCTGTACAAGATACCCGTGTCCTGCAGAGTGCGTCTCGGGTAAATCTCGTGCTTTCCCTTCAATTCACGTGCGGGTCAACCAGGAATGGGATAGCCCAAACTATTTATTTCCTTCAGGTAAGCAATGAACTGGTCCACATCGCTTTCGTTTGATTATAACAGCGATAGCGTTATATAACATTCTGTTAACAAAACTCAGTAAGTAGTCGGCGTCATCGGCCTATTAATTACTTTCTGTTTTTTTTATTATTTGTTTGTTTTTTGTTTTTTCGCTTTTTCCTATCCACAGAGAGATTTTTTCAAGAAAAGGTGCTGTATAATCATGTAAAAATGTTTATGTACACACACACGTACAAATACCAATCCAAACATAATATATAGATACAAGATTTCCAGATCAACACAATATTTGCTGATATTGTGAGACAAAGTTTGGTTACGTTAGGGTAAAAACGATTGTTGAATACAAAAACGACCCGATATAAAGTGTGGTATTGTAATTGTTCTCGCCCCCGATCAACTGTCAAGCTTATCGATGTCCTACCAGCAGAGTGAAACAAAGGGCAACAACTCTCGCAGATATGACTAATACTGCACTTGATACTTACTGTGCTACAGTTTAATGTCGTGCAATCTTTAATTATTTATAACGAATGTTACGTACGTTCCATTGAACAACACGATAAAATCTTGGTAATGTTTACAGGAGTGAATATATATTTGTCTGATGTTGTCCATCGACACTACAAGAATTATTTCTGTAACCCCGGGAAAATACTGCCGAAATACATGTATACACTCGGCTAAAGCGAACTACTGTTCAGCTCGATCGGTTGAGCGTTAGACTAGAAAACCAGATGTCACGGGTTAGAATCCTATGTTATCAAATAAATAATGACCTCTGTTACATTAACAATTAGTCTACAATTGACCAGGAATATGTCATGCTCAGCGGCACCAATACTGAAACTAAGGGAAGTAACTCTGATAGACTTTTGTGAGGCTAAGTGTCATTTATCCTATTTGAACTGTCAGTTAGTGTAACTTTCCATGTGCCATTCCGAGCGTCATTCAATATGTCATTTTATATAATATTTCATGTGCGTCATTCTTTCCGTAATTCCACGTTTCATTCGATGTGTCATTCCCTTTATCATTCCACGTGTCATTACATGCGTTATTCGGTGTGTCATTAAGTGTATCGTACTTTGTGTCATTTCAGGCATTATTCGCACTATCTTCGGAATGTAACTGATAGTATGCATATGTGAAATGTTAAATGGAAGATATGCATAAACTACAGGGTCAGAGGTCAGTCGAGGTCAGGAAAAGGACATGCATATTGTCTGTTAGAAACAATATCGATACGGCTCACATGTAAAATGTACAAAATGTTGACGAGATTTCGCCGGCAAGTAGATACCTACATAGACTCGTTAAATAGCCTCGCTTTCACATTCATCTCAGCGTCTAAATTTGACCTTGGATTTTCCTCAGTCGTCTCCTTGGTCTCAAACTTTAGGCCCTAAGTATGACTGACGAGTATTAGAAGGACAAAACAACCGTTTTGATGCAGTTTAATTTATTATTTGACACTACTGTATCAAACTGTATACGTGTGTCTTTTGTACAATCTTTCGAAATTTTGTATTTTTCTACAACAGTAGAGCGTCTCTCTGATTTTCTACAATAGTGTTTTTTCCACAACTGCTGAGAAGCTGAGGGGATGACTGGAAGACACTAACGTTGCCAAGCAACGAGAGTTCTAATTTGTCACCGCGTTTGTGATATATGGTGTCAGTGCAAGTATAGAAGAATTACCTCCCTTAGCATGTGCATTTTGCGTCAATATTATATTTTTGGATCTATATCAAGAAAAAAACGATATAACAAACTGTAACAAAACTTTGAACCGTTAAACAGTTGTCTTGTTATAGTAAAACAGAAGAGATTTCCAAGTAAACGAAGACTTAACACTGCAGAACGAGACTGATAAATATGATTTCGGCTATTATCATGAGTTCAACTATAACAAACATGTATACATTGGTCATAATTAATCTCAATGCCTCCGCCAGAATTCGAACCCTGGACCTCTCGTTGATAAGTCTCACACTCAACTGATGGAGCTGAAGAGACATTGAGAAGATATCTGTAGATGTATTGTATAT